TTTATTTAATTCAAGAAAAATAGTTGTTATAATTAGTAAAGACAAGTCATTAAAATTAGTAACTAATTTATTGTATATATATATATATATATATATACTAACTTGTACTTTGGAGGGTTATAATATTGTGGCCACTAATACATACACAGTACCTACAATAAGTCATATATTAGTCAGAATGATGAGACTGACATTTTCTTATTTAGGTAGAGTTGAGATCTGGAAAACCTAATCTACATTTACAGAGTTTTTAACTATTTTGGTGAAGAATAAAAGTGTACATGTATGGTTGGGAACTCGCAATTGTATAAAAATATTCTATTTTGCTTTGTCTGATGTTTTTCTGCAGTATTCAAAGTCTGTAGCAAGAAAACATATTATTGGACCTGCAGCAAGTAGAAACTCACCTTTGTATTTGATTGCCTCTGTTGATGTGATGAAATGGTGAACATGAACAGGCTAGCTAGTTTTTCAGAAATCACGCTGTATCATTTTACTGTTTCAATCCCAGCATAAACACTACCTGTATTTTTTATGAAATGTTACTATATTATACTTTGTTTCTGTATAAATGTAAATCTTGTATTTAATACGGACATATTAGGGTTTTCTCATAAAAGAAGTTATTCTGCAATGAAAACAAGAAGCGATTTTATGTATGTAATTGAATACTTTAGGTAATATTTAAGAACGATTTGCAGCAATTAAGTGAGGCAAGCCATTATTCATGGTATATTGTCAAGTTAATTACTGTACATGATTCTGTTAATAAATTTTTGATAATAAAGTGTTGATGCTGAGTAAGTTGGTTTTATGCTTATAATATTAGTCTATTAACATAGAAGGAAATATACACCGAGTTTTACAGATACATGATTTATAATGACATGTAGAATTTTTCACAGTTTGCATGCCCATAGTTGATATATCATTTCTAGTTTTGTACTATTTCAAATATTTATTATTTGTAAGAATTTATCGCTGTTGTTGGTTTTGATTACTGATTTTTATATCTTCCTTTATTCTTTTAAAACGTTCTTATAAAGTTCTCATTTTATGAAACAACACACGCAGTTTCATTATGTTTATGGTTACTGGTGTAAATAAAAATAACTTTTTTTTTTACCAGAAAAAAACTAGTGCAAAAATTTGAAAACAAAAACAAAATACTTAATCCCATTTTCATTCTTCTAAAATGACAGCCATTGGAGATGGTGTAATGGTGAGGGAAACATTCTCCTGGCATAGACCAAGTCTTTGATTTCTTAAAAAGAGGGTGAATAATATTCAGTGTGTACCTGAACATTGCTTCCATTCACCCCACAATATTACACTTCACCCATGATAAACAAGGACTTTTAAAGATAGTAATGCAACAATCCACAATGCTCATATTGTCTGAAAATGATTTAATGAGCATGACCGTAATTAAATGTTGCATTCTCTACTGTAATCCTCTGTTGATATCAGTGAACCAAATGCAGACCATTCTTTTGAATGAACGGGCTACGATGAAATTACCTTTATGCATCTTTTGAAGTCCATACCATGGTAAATCAAGGTTAATTACCATAGGTGAACAGTGATCTAATTTAATATTAAGTGAAGCTTCTAATGAAGCTTCAATTTAGTTATTTTCCAAATGTTTGGAAAATGAAGTGTTTTTGTTGAAATGTTACAAGTTACTGTAGTAAAAACTAGTACCAATTTTTGTGAACAATTTAATAACATGTTCTTAACAGTATACTTGAAATAACTATGTATTCTAGGCCAGTTGCACCTTATTCACAGTGTGCAATTTCCTATTTCTTAAATAGAAACTGACACTGTAATTCATCACCATCCTAAACTATATTGTGATATAAACATGAAATTTACTGCCTGATAATGTTACATGAATTTAATACTTAAGTGTTGCAGTTTCAATTTTCTTTTAATGTATTTTCCACTGCACCAATTTTAACCAATACGCTAAGCCACATTCATTCCTGCTAAAGTGCCAAAACTTTAGCAACAGTTCGAAATGATCATGTAGCATAAGGGTATTGATAAGCGGAGTAGCCAGTACTGGATCTCTTTACTAATAATCCTCTATCAATGTCTTTTTTCAAGATGCCCATGATGAAAAGTGCCGATAAATTTTTCATTTCAGAAGCATCAGTTGGAGACCATCACAAGTTCTGCTTTTAGGCTTTAGGTAGTTCAATTACAAAAACTGTTCAACAAACCTATTGATTTCAGTGACCATCATATTCACAACATCCTCCATCAAAAACACTTTGAAAATTTCAACTGGAATGGCCCCTGACAGCAAACTTGCAACCATTTGAGACTGTGTAGTAAAAGAAATATCAGTTGGACTAACATATGTAGCCTAGACAGTCTGCCATCCATCAAAGGGTTATTTGATTAGGACAATGTAGATAGAGATAGTAATTATGAGTCTGATGATGAAAGAGACCTGGATTGTACAGAGCAGGTAAATGTTCAAACTGTTTTCCTGTAGCTGACACTGGAAAACCAGCATCAGGGAACAGATTCTTCTGAAATACTTGCAATTTTACTCTAAACTTGCTAAAATGTTTGCACAACCATGCCATCTTGTAGCTATAAAAGTAACCAAAACAAACCACTGCAAAATTTCAGGGCAAGTGACTTGAAACTTTAGTGAAAAAAATTGTTTTCTGTCATTCACAAGAGAGCAGGACACACATAATCATTGTACACCACTAAGGGACTGTTTATCTCTACGCTCATACGTAGTTATAGCCCCTTTGCTGATTGACCTGTCAATGTGTCAGTAGTGCCTGACTAACAGTAATAACTGATGAGTTAACATCTTTAATAATGAATGTGTTAAACCAACTATTTTCAGCAAATTGAAGTAACATCAACAAAACTCAAATATCGTTGGAATAGTGTTTATTATATAGCTGGCATGATGTATATTTTAAATGGAATAGAGCATATAATATAAAGGTTCTGTATATATCTTTCTGATTGTACTATTTATTATATACATATATATTTATACATAATCACATTAAATGACTAAGTCATAAGTAAATACAAAAATAAATGTAGCTGTTTAAAAGATACACTATTGCTTTTATAATTAAAAACAACACATAAACAATCACCCTTTAAATTGTCCACGTTATTTTTACAGAAATAATTATACTCAAGAGTTTTGAATAATTCCCCTCCATTTAATTTAATTTGAAATGGAAATAAGCTCACAGACTGTTTTCTCAATAAAACTATTCAGTAGAACACATGTAAAAAATCAAAGTATTTGCAAATATATTTACTTTCTATACCAACAAAACTTTTGGGGCATTGTGAAATACTGTCTTAAGGACCTACAAATTTAATAACAAAACTTGTTTTTTCTAATTCCTACATTTAGCAATGCCTTCTTAACACAAGTATTTTCGTTGACACATGACAACTACGACTCATAGGAATATTTAACTTGGCTGGTTAAACTATAGATGCAGTAAAAATAGATAAAGGCAAAAAAATATATTGCAAAATACTTTCATACCATGCTTCACCTACAATTTTCTGCCTCAGTCATTAATCATTGAAGTTTTCATGATGTATTACATAAAATTTTAAACATGTGCTAAATGTACAAAGATCTCAATGATGATTCAATATTCAGTAAGGTGCTATTTTGTTTTCATTTAATATTCAAGTTTTAGAAATTCACTGATCAGTGAAATAACTTCACATTTTTCAAAGTATATGTTTCATAGTAACATCTAGAAGTTTCTGTAATTTAAGACTAATGATAAGTCGAGTAAGTTCTCACCTTTTAAGCCACAAGACAATTATATTTCATTAAAATATTGCTATTTGTGTCTAATACTGCTTTAAAATTCCTAATTTTATGTTGCAAGAAAGATTACTTTTAATATTAGTTGCTTTCCTTATTTAAAAATTTAACATAACAAAAGCCAAGTTGTTAACATTGTTTCAGTAGAACTTTAGGCAGAGTAGACATAGTACGTTTGAAAACTTTAATGGACATTAATTGCCTGTTGAAAAAAAAAGGAAACAACATTTCAGCTTCTATAAGAAAACCTCAGTAAAGAAGTCAAAATGTTGTCTCCTTTTCTTTCAACAGGCAGTTGCACAAAGTTGCTGATGTTAATGTAAGTTTGCACTAATGTGTTCTCTAACATCAGCAACTTGGATTTTATGTTAATTGCATAAGTGCACTCTATTGTTTTCTCTGACATCAACAACTTGTAATTGATATTAATTATGTAAGCTCATACTAGTATGTTCTCTCTAACATCGGCAACTTGAACTTGACATTAATTATGTAAGTTTGCACTAGTGTATTCTCCATCAGGAACTTGTACTTGACATTAATTATGTAAGTTTGCACTAATGTGTTCTCTAACATCAGCAACTTGTACTTGACATTATTTATGTATGTTTGCACTAGTGTTCTCTAACATCAGCAACTTGAACTTCACATTAATTATGTATGTTTGCACTAGTGTGTTCTCTATAATCAGCAACTTGAACTTCACATTAATCCGTGAAGTTCAAGTTCCTGATTATAGAGAACACACTAGTGCAAACATACATAATTAATGTCAAGTACAAGTTGCTGATGTTCGAGAACACACTAGTGCAAACTTACATAATTAATGACAAGTACAGGTTGCTGATGTTAGAGAACACAGTAGTGCAAACTTACATAATTAATGTCAAGTTCAAGTTGCTGATGTTAGAGAACACTAGTGC